TCACAAAATATAGAAAAATTAGCCGGGCATGACGGTGTGTGCTTATAGTTCCAGCTACTTGGGAGGCTGAGGCAGAAGGATCACTGGACCCCAAGAATTTGAGGTTGCTGTGAGCTATACTGATGCCACTGCACTGTAGCCCAGGAGACAAATCAAGACTCTGCCTCAAAAAATAAAATAAAAAACACTAATACAATGGAAATACCATGTAAATAGTTGTTATACTGCATTTTTATTTATATTTTTATTATTTATTTATTATTATTTTCTAAGGTTCGCTGAATCCAAGGATGTGGAACGCATGGATACAGAGGGCCAACTGTACAGGGTTAGGTGCTACCCAAGGTTTCAGGCATCTCCTGGGAGTTGTGGGACATATATCCCTCATGGATAAAGGGGGCGAACACTGTATAGAAAAGACTACTTTGTATAAAATGTTCCAAAGAGGGGTCCACAGAAGCATTCAAAAACTTGTATCTCCTACTCTGCAATAAATTTCTCTATCCTCCACAATCTGGTTTTACCCTCACTTCCAACCACATTATTCCAATATCTCCATCAGCAATCTCCAACCTAGTCACACCATCCCTTTACTCTATACCTTGTGACCATCTTCGTGTCCAGATGCAGCACTGAGCTCTCTTTCAAGGATGGCCGATCACATGAAATGCTCTTCGGATTTCCCTGTACCTCTCCCAGTTTAAATCCAGTGCTCTTTTGGAGGCCCAGCTGATGTCTGGCTCATCCCATGATTCCTTCGCCTACATCAGCCTGTGTCTCTCTCGTCTCCCTCTCCTACAATTCCTACAGTTCACATGTAGGTTCCACAACACAAAATTTGACATCTAAGTAGAATCTTTTGCTTTGTTCTTGACTCTCCAACTAGACTATAAAGTCCTGGATAGAAGGGACCACGTCTTTCACTTTTGTATAACCCACAGCACCTAGTACCACAGCACCACAGTACCTAGTACTAGATATATACACTAGTTAGTTGATAGTTCCTGTACATAACCAGAAATGCAAACATACCGTTTGACCCAGCAATTGCATTTCTAGAAATTTACCCTACTGATGATATACTTAAATATGTAAAAATATTAGGATCAAAGACATGCTTTACAGATTGTAATATTAATAAAAATTAGAAATAACACAAATGTCTTTTAAGAAGTACTGGTTAATTTAAGTCTATACTGCCCATTTGAAAAAAAATGGGATATCTATACACATGGACCATATAGTAAGTGAAAAAAACTGCAGAAAAGCATGTAAAATAAATCCTATTTTTATATATTTGTTTATTCATAGACACATACAAAATTTAGAATACATAATTTTTAGAATAATCATCTCTGGCAAGTAGGATGGATAGTTATTTCTAGAAGACAGTTATTTTTGGAAGATGGCATATAGGAAACTCTCATCCTAGTGTAGTTGTTTATCTTTAAATGAGCACTTACTTTAGTTACAAAATATAATTAAAATTACCATCTTTCTCTGAACTAGTGATCAACAGAGGGACAAGTATTTTGGTCCACAATACTTTTCCTAGCAACTTCTTCATCTGTAGAGAACCAGCTTTATTGTTGGACTGCCCACTATACTAAATCTGAGTAAGCATTACAAATAAATCATGCCAAAAAATTAAATTCACAGAGTTGTTCGCAGAAAACACAGAAAACTCTGCTGGATAAGTACTAAATATCTGTTTCATGAAGAGAATCCCTCTCAAAGTGCCAGGCATCACATCAGTCCCTCACAGTAACAGTTCTGTTTTTAAATATCTTATACATAACTAGCGTTAACATAAACTTGCCTGGGGCCCTTGTTTCAAGGCCAAAGCTAGAGATGAGACAGGAATCTCTACATATTTTTATCCATAGAAACAACATGAAAAAATCTGTGAGAACCACCCAAAGGAGCACTGATTCCATCCCTGTGGATCTGTACTTCACACAAAGTATCACCCTTACCGTTCCCCTGCAGGCCTCCTTCCAGCATGTTTACAAATGTTCTGATTTAAGCAGTCAAGGCCTTCCCACTAAGCCTCTACTAAAAACAGAGGAAGAAGAGCTTTCCTTGTAAACTTTTTCCATCTCAGCATTGACCCTAAGATCCAACTGCCTTTTTTGTTTTCCCCTCATATGTACTGTTGAATATAAAAGCTTATGGCTATTGAAGCTAAGTGCTTTACATGTAGTAATACATTTATACTTACAATAACCCCGTGATGTATTCCTATTTTACAGATGAAGAAACTGAAATAAAAGGTCAGACAACAAGTGGCAAATATAGGATTTAAACCCACAGATCTTAATTCCTCAGTACAATGTTTACTATGTAGCACTCACTATCTCTGATATTCTTCTTTTAATCCAGAAACCATTAGAAATCTTACACATGAAAGCTCTTACGTTTTAGAAACAATTTTTTTTTTTTTTAAATTTCAGAATATTACAGGGGTACAAACATTTTGGTTACATATAATGCCTTGGCCTCACCCAAGCCAGAGCTATAAACAGCATGGTACTGGCACAAGAACAGAGATATAGACCTTTGGAACAGGACTGAGAACTTGAATAAAACCATGCTCATATTGTCATCTAATCTTTGACACAGCTGACAAAAATATATACCGGGGAAAAGAATCCCTATTCAATAAAGGGTATTGGGAAAACTGGATAACCACATGCAGAAGATTGAAACTGGATCCCCACCTCTCACAAAAATCAATTCACGATGGTTAACAGACTTAAACCTAGAGTGTAAAACCATAAGAATTCTGGAAGAAAATGTTGGGAAAACTCTTATAGACATTGGCCTAGGCAAAGAATTTATAAAGACGGCCCCTGAAGCAATCACAGAAGCAACAAAAATAAATAAATGAGACCTGATCAAATTAAAAAGCTTCTTGCACAACAAAGGAAACTATCATTAGAGCAAACAGCCTACAGAATGGGAGAAAAAAATTGCATGCTACACATTTGATAAAGGGCTGATAACAAGACTCTATTTAGACTAAGAAAATGAACAAGAAAAAAAACCAAACAAACCCATCAAAAACTGGGCAAAGGACATGAATAGAAACAAATCTTAAAGTCATGACATCAGGACCTCTGAATCAAATGTTCACGCTTGGAAATGCTATTGGGGGAGGGGGGAAAGGGCATTTATTGAAACCTTAAAATCTGTACCCCCATAATATGCTGAAATAAAAAAAAAAAAAAGAGAGAGAAGATGGCTTGGCTCTTAGCAGTATGTTCAGGTTTTGAAATAAAAACTCTTCTATTCAAGTACTCAAAAAAAAAAAAAAAAAAAAAGAAATGCTATTGGTACTGCCACTATTGGATAACTGAGAAGTATGTAACTTAATTTGCAAAATGTTTGTGTTTGCCTACACTTTTCTTAACTTTTCAAAAGCTTGTTTACAGTAATAAACACCCAATCCCTTAATCAAGTAAAAAATAACTGGGTTCAGATTCAATTTCTGTCACTGTTTTCCTTCACCAGTAAAGATATTAAAGGTATACATAAAGAACCTTAGCGAAGTTAATGACTGGATATGTAAAGAGTCATCTCACCTACTATTATTACTGCTATACTTTGACGATTTTACCATCAATACTCCCAGGATCTGGAATAACTAACAAGTTGAAATCAATTTCAAAATCAGGTGTGGTGGCCTATGCTTGTAGTCCCAGCTGAGGCCAGAGCTCACTTAAGCCAAAGAGTTTGAGTCCAGCTGGGTAACATAGCAAGAGCCCATCTCTAAAAATAAAATTTTTTAAAAAGAAAAAAAATCAAATTCAATACCTAATGTGTTTATAGAAAACAAATGTAAACATTTAAAAATTATGCTTTCTGCTTAAATTTACAAAACTGATAAACTGGAAGTTCTACATAATGGAAACACAAAAACCAACTGGTTAAAAAAAAATTAACGTTACAAAACTATCATATGGAAGTCAATGACTAGACAAGAATGAACCTACTAACAATTAGTCTGTCTCATAAAAACTCATTCCATTCCATCCCATCCATTTCCTTGTGAAGTATACAATAATTTCCTTAACCGAATTATTTTATATAACCCCTCACCAATCTTTCATCATGTAAGCTCAAGCCTTTTCAATGGATTAAAAATGCGTCCTGCAACAGGCAACAATGACTGTACTGTCCTTTATGCCTTTCCTGTTCAGTGTTCTGCTAGGGTCAAGAGTTGTTCACACTATTGCCACAGGCTTAAGAGCTAACACTCCAGGCAGTGCCCTTTCTGGGCTCCAGGCAGAGTACACACACTGCATCAAGCCATTTGGTCCTCACAACAACTCTGTGTAGCAAGGACTGATTGTTAAGTTTGTTCCAGGTGGGAACCCAAAAAGTGTGTATAGGACAGAATGTGGTTAATGCAAAAACTTAGGCTTATAAAACAGTAGCAGCTGGAGTCTGAAGAGCCCAGACTTTGTAAATGTGACAGACAGCTGCAGCCAGCAGTCTTTTCCCTCTCCCTCCCAATCTCTCCTGACAGGGAGGACGCCAGAGCTGAAGGAGGGAGTGACTGGGGCAGGGGTCCTAGGAGCTGGTTGTCTGAAAAAGATTTAATCACAAAGGGCTGTTGTGGCCCACTTACTCCCCTCCCCCCTGCCAGGAAACCCTCTATAAAACCCAAGGATCTTCCCTTTTCTCTCCCGGACGCTTTTTCTCCTCCACCCATCTGCACCCAGATGCTCAAAATAGCATTTTGCTACACATGAGGCTTCCTGTCTCTCTCTCTGGGCTCTCGACCTAACACTCATCTTTATGCTCACTTTTCAGATGAGGAAGCTAAGGCACCAGGGAGGCTGGGTGTTATGCCTGGGAGCACAGGGCTTGGAATCCAGGGTCAAAATCCAGACTGGAAACCAATCTGGGTCTCGAGTCCAGTGTTTTTTAACCTCTAGATGCCTCTCAGGAGGAGCACGTCAATGACACTGTAAAACGTGGAAAAAATACAGTACCAGTGGGAAGCAGGGGCTCCAACGGGGTAAAGGCATGCTCCATAGCGGATTATTGGCCTCTGCATTAAAAAAAAAAAAAAAAAGCGAAGTTAGAATTTCTCAAATCTAATCAAAGAGTTCGCGAAACCTGCAGTACAAAGAGCCACTGGAATGTGGCACTTCCAGGGCGGCGTGCTCCGGGGCACCCCGCAGCGAGGTGCAGCTCCCCGCCACCCCGGCCCACGGCTCCGCGGGAGGGGCGAGGCGGGAGGGGGATGGGGGGCTTGGGCGGGCGCGGCGGCGGGAGGTCTCAGAGTCCGCCCCTCCAGCCTCGCCCCGCACGTCCCTCCCCATCCGGGTACTGGGGGAGCGAAGGGCGGCTGCCCCCTCCCGCGGCCGGCGCGCCCGACGGCTGTCGCACTTACACAATGGCGGGTGGAGCCAGCTGTGAGCGGAGCGCAGGCTGTGGGAGCGACGGCAATCGACCGTTCGGCGCTCGGCTGAGGGGCCTCTGGCGGCGCGCAACCCGCGCGAGCCGGTTTTTGTCCCGGGGGCGCGAGGCGGACCCGCGTCCTGCCCCGAGCCGGCGGTGCCAGCGAGCCTTAACCACGCCCTGCGACCCGCGGACCTTTGACCTGGCTCCCGGGTTGCCTTTTTTGTGCTCGTCGTCCTGCCGGGCTACCCCTAGTATTTCTGCCCAGCTCTGCACGCTCCTCTCCAGCAAGGAGGCCGCCATTTGCTCGAAACCAATCAGCGCATTCCTTCTCTTACCTGGTCCGAGCCACGCGGACTAAGCTTGCTACAGCGCCTCTTCTCGGGCCTCGGCCTCTCTGATCTTCCGCGTGCCACCAGTATCCTTCCTGAATACTCCGTTAAAATATTTGCTTCCTTCGCTTTGTGGGAAAAAAAACAGAATTTTTACTATGGAAGAAACTTTAAGCCACCTCCTTACAGGTGCACTTGGGCCCACATGCCCCCCAAGGTGAAACGTCACTGTTTAAATACAGGCTTTTACGATGCTGAGCAAGCCTGGTCTGCGGGAAAGTTCTTAGGCAAAATTCCACTCCCTTTATCTGCCACTCCGTAGTAGTAGTGATGAAGGAGGCAGAACTTCACCTGTACCTTCTTGAGGTCTCCAGCTGGGCCAGAGACTTTAAATTGACTTCATACAGTTTACCCAGAGAAAAGCAACAGATTTTGATATCTGTGTGGGCGTCTCCACAGGAAATGACCAAAAGAAGTGACAAACCTAAATGCTTATATACTGGTATTAGCTACAACAAGTTTCAAAAGTCCACGTTTAAAGATGCCCTTGATGAAACAGGGTACAGGGTACAGGGAAATGTTTACACGTGTAAGTGGTTGCTACAAATCCATCAGTAGCATACAAGCAACCTGTAAAATGACCATCAAGGATATACATAAATTATAGCAGATATTCGAACGACAAAAATACATCACTAATAGTCAGGTAAGCAAATTTGAACAATGAGATGAATTTGCCTGCCAGATTGCAAATGATTTTTAAGTAATAATAAAAATTTATATTTACTGATCAATTATTCCATTCCAGTCACTGTGTTGAGGGCTTTTATATTTTATTTCATTACTCTAAAATGTAGGCTCCAAGAAAACAAGGGCCAAAATTTAATTATTCACTTTCGAATTGTCAACGGAAAAGAACCCAAACTCTGTAAAATAAAGAAATAAAATATTCTGATACAAGTATTACATGTGACCATGACCCAGAGAGCCATACCCAAGAGGCCTTGAGCAAGTGAAATGATCTGTTGGATTAAATTTGGTTTTATATATTTCAGGGAGATAGGAATTACACATTAAGTCATAAATCAATATAGGGAAGGTGTACATTGGTTTGGCCTGAAAAGGCTGAACATCTGGAAATGGGAGATTACAGGTTACAGGTGGGGATAAAGTTTCTTTGATTTGCAATTGGTTGGAGAAATTGAGGACTGAACTCTGATCTTTTTCTTTTGCTAAAAACTCTTTCCTAAGGAGGCCAGCTGAGTCAGGCTGACAAATGGTAAATTCCTACTAAGCGGCTTTTGTTAACCAAATAAAGCGGTGGTTTACTTCCCAACCTGATTCTGATACGGCATTAACATCACCTAAAAGATAGGAAGCCCCTTCTTAACTCAAGCATCCTAGCAGATGCCTATCATAAATTTAAAATATCTTAACTCAAGCATCCTAGCAGGTGCCTATTGTAAATTTAAAATGTCCTCCTGTCTAGACCTCCCAGAGTGCTCATACCCTTATCTTAATGTAAGCATATCCTTTCTGGTCTTCTAGATAAAGTCTAACTCTCTCAGCCAATTGCCAGCCAAAGAATCTTTAAACCCACCTATAACCTGTAAGCTCCCGCTTCGAGATGTCCCACCTTTTTGGGCCAAACCAATGTATGCCTCTCATGTATTGATTTGTTACTTTGTCTGTAACCCCTGTCTCTCTGAAAATGTATAAAACTGAACTGTAACCCAGCCACAGCGAGTCCGCTTGCCCAAGGCCTCTTGGCAGTGGCTCCAGGTCATGGTCCTCAAATTTGGCTCAGAATAAATCTCTTTAAAATTATTTTACAGAGTTTGGCTTTTTTCCGTCGACAAAATGAAGCTTTGTTTAAAGGCTTGGCATGTTTTAAGATAACTTTGTTAACCAGAGACAAGTCACAAGACTAAGACTCAAACTCAGAATGATCTGGTAAGTAAATTAATGTGTGGTTTAAGCTTTGTCCTGCATAGCCTTAAGCCTGTTAATGAGTTACAAAGGACAGCTCCAAGAAAGGAAGGGAGCATAAAGGGATAGGTCTGACATACCTTCTCATGGCCAGTAACTGAGCTTTAATATATTTCTGGGGTCCCCTTGGCTAAGAGGGGAGGTTCATTCACATAGCTGGGAGGGCTTAAGATTTTATTTTAGTTCACAGAATCCTCACCCTCTAGCACAGCTGCTGGAGAAGAGTAAGCAATCAATGCATATTTATTGAATGTTCATGCTGAAATTGTTTGCAATATCCTGGCATGCTACTTCTCTAGTTGTTTCCACAGCTGGCTCATCCGTAAAACCACAGCACAAAAGGGACTTCCCCCTCAGTTACTCTTTATTTTATCTAGGAGTGTTGTTTTGTTTTCCCAAACAGCTATAATCCCTATCTGTAATTATCTTACTTGTTTACTTGTTTATGATTTGTCTCCCTCTACTCGAGTGCTAGCTCCCTAAGGGCAGGAACTACCCTACCTCTGGAGAAATAGCAGTTTCTATTTCTGCTATTTCTCCAGCCAAACCTATGACTCACAGGGAGTAGAGGTTCAGAAAATGCTTACAAAATGTGTTAACAAATGGTGGGGGAAGTAAATGGAAAATTATGGTACATCATACCAAGAATTAGTCATACCTGGTTTTATTGCTTCGCTTTATTGCACCTCGCAGATACTGTGTTTTCTACAAATCGAAAGTTTGAGGCCATGTGTCTAGCAAGTCTATCAGTGCCATTTTTCCAGTAGCACGTGCTTACTTCATATCCCCGTGTCAAATGTTGGTAATTCTCACAACACTTCAAACATTTTCATTATTATTATATCTGTTATGGTGATCTATGATCAGTGATGTTACTATTGTAATTGCCTCCCCGTTTCCTGAGAAATAACAATATAGAAATTAGGTCAATTAGTATCCTTACAATGGCCCTTAAGTGTTCAAGTGAAAGGAAGAGTCTCATGTCTCTCATTTTAAATCAAAAGCTAGAAATAGTTTAGTGAGGAAGGCATATTGAAAACTGAGATAGGCCGAAAGCTAGGTCTCTTGTGCCAAACATTGAGACAAGTTATGAATGTAAAGAAGAAGTTCTTGAAAGAAATTAAAAGTGCTGTTCCAATGAACACGTGTATGATAAGCAAAACAGCCTGATTTCTCATCTGGAGAAAGTTTTAGTGATCTGGCTAGAAGATCCAGCAAGCTACAACATTTCCTTAATCCAAAACCTAATCCAGAGCAGGGTTCTAACTCTCCTCAATTTTATGAAGGCTAAGAGTGATAGGAAGCTATAGAAGAAAAGTTTGCAGCTAGCACAGATTGGTTCATCAGGTGTAAGGAAAGAAGCCATCTCATAACATAACAGTACAAGGTGAAGCAGCAAGTGCTGATGTAGAAACTGCAGCGAGTTATCCACTTATGAGTGAGAACATGTGAAGTTTGTCTTTCTGTGCCTGACATATTTCACTTAATATAATGTCCTCCAATTCCATCCATGTTGCAAATGACAGGATTTATTATTTTTTATGGCTGAGTAATGTTCCATTGTGTATATGTGCCACTTTCTTTATTTATTCATTATTGATGGGCACTTAGCTTGATTGTAAATCTTAGCTATTGTGCATAGGGCTGCAATAAACATGGAAGTACAGCTATCTCTTCAATATACTGATTTCCTTTCATAATAAAACTTGAATGGGCACGGGCCAAGTGGCTCACGCCTTTAATCCTAGCACTCTGGTGAGGCCGAGGCGGGCGGATTGCTGAAGGTCAGGAGTTCGAAACCAGCCTGAGCAAGAGCGAGACCCCCATCTCTACTAAAAATAGAAATTAATTGGCCAACCAAAAATATATAGAAAAATTTAGCCAGGCATGGTGGCTCATGCCTGTAGTCCTAGCTACTAGGAAGGGTGAGACAGAAGGATTGCCTGAGGCCAGGAGTTTGAGGTTGCTGTGAGCTAGACTGATGCCAGGGCACTCTAGCCCAGGCAACAGAGTGAGACTCTGTCTCAAAAACAAACAAACAAAAAAAAAAAACTTTAATGGATGAGGAGTTGCTTCTTATGAATGAGCAAAGACAATGATTTCGTGAGATGGAAACTACTCTTGGTGAAGATGTTGTGAACACTGTTGAAATGACAAAAAAGGATTTAGAGTATTACATAAATGTAGTTGGTAAAGCAGTGGCAAATTTTAAGGATTGATTGCAATTTGGAAAGAAGTTCTAGGTAAAAGGCTATCAAACAGCATCTTACTCTACAGAGAAATCTTTCATGAAAGGAAGAGTCAGTCAATCAATGTGGCAAACTTCTTTGCTGTCTTGTTTTAAGAAATTGCCACAGCCCCAGCTATTCACGAAGTCTTTTGCACAAAGAAGAGTTAGCAACTGGGCTCACAGTATCTTGTAGCTTTTCCCCAACAGATTTTTTAGGGCAGCATTGTTCTGCAAGATTTTAAAAAGTGTGCCCAAAATATGGTGTTACATGCTCCAATATCTTAGACACACTATGGGTTTGGGGATAAACAGCTGCTTCTGGTCTTTACAAGATGTTTAAAAGTGGATAATGTGTTATAAATCTTAAGGGAAATTGGTGATAATGTGTAGTATTTTAAAAACTAAGTGTTACCTGTTTCATCTCCAACCATCAGTGCATTTATTTCTGCGTTTTCTGTTCAGAAAATCCAATCATTCTTTCAACCTCAAAATAAACACCTATTCTAATCTCACCTCAACAGCCCAAGCAGTATTTCTAGGCACCTTTAGGATATTTCCACTTAAATATTTCACCATTACCTCTGATTAAAGGGACTGAAAATGAAGACATTCATTTATTCCTCTTCCCACATCTACATTTCTCTCCTTCACATCATTTTTCCATATGCCTTGATAGAATAACTTTGTCTTTTTTTTTTTTTTCATTTCGTAAACTCAATCAGTTGCCAATTTCTTGTCTTATTGATCTCTTATTCCAGCTTGTCAAGGAAATTTGGGATTGACATTCTATCATTCTGGTCATTTCCCCTCATTCACTAATCAAAAACATTTACATCCATAAATTTTTAAGGCAGTTTTTAACTACATCCCCACATTTTAATATGTTGTGCTTCAGTTACCATTCAGTTCAATATTTTCTCATTTCCTTTATGAATTTTTCCTTTGATATATGCATAATTTATAAGTGTGATATTTAATGTCCAGATAATTTTGCATTTCCTACATATCTTTTGTTATTGAGTTGTAGCTAATTCTACTATTTTCTGAAACAGACTGCAAATTTCAACAGACTTGTTTTATGTCCCAGCATATAATCTATTTTAGTAAATTTTTCATATATACTAAAAAAAATTATATTCTGTGGTGGTTCTGTACATGTCAGTTATATCAAGTTGTATGCTAGCACTGTTCAAGTCATCTATAGTGTTACTGATTTTCTGTCTAATTGTTG